TACATTTAATACATTGTAACAGGTAGCTTGGGAGAAGTATGTGAAGAAAATGTGGCTATACATAAATAGCAGTCACAGAAAGGAGAATTTAATAGCATTTTCATACAAGCAAGGATATTCTTTGATAGGTACACACTCATAAAAAAATCAATGAGTGGTAGTTTCTTATAAGTTAGTAACAATGTGGAATACAAAACCACGTAAGTGAACTTTTTCTATGCTGCTACCATAAAATTCATTGGTCTATGATGTATGTTGAACATAATTTTTAAACATGCATGAGTCTAAACAAAATTGATTCACAGAAAAACATTCACTGAGCTATGCAGATCTTACATATACTGATATATTATATTACCAAACAGTCCTAAATCTAATTAACATTACCAGCAATCTCATCAGAAAAGTCATCAAATATTAGGAGGCTATCAGGCTCAAAGTGGCAGGTATAAGTTTGCCACCTAAATCTTACTTTAAAACTTCAATTTATCACTGACAAATACTATTAGTTGTTGAAGTGACAAGTTTGCTTCAGTTTAAAAAATATTCAAATCTGAGTAAGGACAGTTTATCTGTTAATATTCTGCTTCACAGTACCATATGAAAAAAGTACATCAAGTCCTTTTCCTCAAATCAATCAGCATAGTTCAGTTATCAATAGCATTGTTTTTATGAATACTTCCCATTTCGTTATGTTAAATATTAAAAAGACATATCCTCAAGTAGCAACATAGAGTAACATTTTTATTGCTTTATAAGGGACACTAAAGTGTAGCTAGTACCTTTTCTCACTACAAGTACTTGGTGGTGAAAGAGTACAATGATTAGCAGTAGTTTGCTGCCCCTGCTTTGATTCACACCAGTAGTTCAAACAACCGTAGTTTCTGTATCAGTGCCATTACTAACACAATGAAAAAGGATAAACACTGACCAGATGGCAAGATAATTCATGGGGAAAGAGTACTATTTTCAGTAAATGGTCCTAGAACAACTGAATATTCACATGCAAAAAGAACAAAATTGGACCCCAACACCTCAAATAACACATATAAATTAACTTCAACTTGATCCATCACCTACCTGTAAGAACTAGAACTATAAATCTTTTAGGAACAAACCTCTCTGATGTAATTAACCACAGCTTGGCTTTATAGTCGGGATTCCAAAAGCACAAAAACAAAAAAAGAGGTAATTTAAGAGTTAAGAATTAAAAGCTTTTATGTTTCAGAGAAAGCCGTAAGTGAAAAGACAAATTGGGGAAAATATTTCAAAATCATATACTGGGTAAGGGACTTGATCTACCATATGTATAAATACTTCTTAAACTAAAAACTAAGTCTCATAATACAATTTTTAAATGGGAAAAAGCAGTGGTAAAATAAAGACAGACTTTTGGAGGTGGGAAAGGGGATCAGGGAATGAGGGAAAGGAAAGGGGAAACAGATTAAAAGTGATCAATAGACAGATAAATAGAGACTAGGGATTTAGCTCAGCGGCACAGCGCCTGCCTGGCAAGTGTGAAGTCGTGAGTTAGATTCCCAGTACCGGAAAAAAAACCAAAAAAATAAAAAATAAAAAGACAGATAAATGGATAGATACCAGTACCTCAAGACAAATGTAAATATTATGTACTGCAAATGCATACTAATAAAATATAAGTAAAATGAGCAAATAAATTGATTAGGTATTTCTTTTAAAAAGATATATGAATAGCCAGTAAGCATCTAAACATATTGTTCAATATCGTTAGTCCTAGGTAAAGGCAAATTACAACTATAATGAGGTAGCATTCCATATCCACTAAGATGTCCCTATTTTTAAAAATGGATAATATTAGTAAGAATGTGAAGAAACCAGAACACTGCTACATAGTTGGAGGGATTACAGAAAGATACTTCCACTGTAGAAAACAATTTGGCAACTCCTCAAAAAGTTAAATAGCAACTCTCATCCTAGAAACGTACCCATGAAAACTGAAAACATACATCCACCAAAAACTTGCTTTAGAATGTTCATAGAAGTGCTATTTATAATACTGCAAAGTGAAAACTATCCTAAAGTCCACAAATTATTGAACAGACAAACACAATGTGGGATATCCATAAAATGGAATATTATTTAGCCTTAAAAAATGCTGTACCCATAAATGCTACAATATGAACAAACCTTGAAAACACAGTGCTACGTGAAATAAAACAGATATAAAACAGCTCCATGTATGATTTATAACTTAATTTATATGAAATGTCCAGAATTGGTAAAATTTTAAAGGTAAAAAGTACGTTACTATTACCAAAAGGTGAGTGGAATGAGAGTGGCTGCTAATGGGTACATTGTTTCTCCTGGGAATGATACAAATACTCTAAATTAGACATTGGCAACACAGCACAACTTTGTGAATACATTAAAAACCACTGGATTTTTCAATTTAAAAGGTTGATGTCTATTGTATGTGCATTATATATCAATAAAGTTTTTTTAAAGGTAAATAATCTTTTGGGATTATTATGGAAAGAGTTTGACTTTACAGAGCCCCTTAAAAGAGATCAAACAACCCTAAAAGCTTATGAACCATAATTGACAGCCTCTATAATAAACTACAAAATTTACTATTTAACCTATCTATGGTCTATTTTTCTTCCCACTTACTTAAATGAATTCTCTATGACAATGACAATTTTTGTCTGATATATTTTCTTACTATATAGTTTCTAGAATGATCCCTTTTATATGGTAGGCAACCAATAAGTATTCCTGAATGGATGAGTAATTTATGCATAGATACAATAAGCAGCTAATAATCAATGCAAAACTTCATCTACAGAAGTGATACAATCCCAATCAAAACACTGGGGTGATTTTTGGCAAAAATTGAAATGATTCCAAATCTTGTAAGTTAATACACAAGAATATGGCTTGGCTTTTAATTTTTTTAAAAGTATCTTTTGAAGAGCCTGAACAGATATACAAGTAAATGAAGCTTTTCAAAAACAAAAACAGTGGAATCGCACTACCAGACTTTAAGACTAATTTTATAAAGGTACAATACTCAAGACACTGTGGTTTGAGCACAAAATACATAATTCACTGGAACAGAGAACCCAGAAATAAGATCCACATATATCAAGGCCAATGTTACAGTTTAAATATGAAGATTCTTGAAACAGTTAAGCTTATGAGGTCACTAACCTCATCAATGAGTTACTCCACTGATGCATCCATAGCTAAATGGACTGGTAGGAGGAGCTGCCTACTTAAAAGTGGGTCACCAGGGCATGCCCTTGGGGACACTACTTTAGTCCCAGCAGAGTTCTCTGGTTTGGTCTCTCTGTGATTCCTGGCTGCTAGAAGGCAAACAGCCTGCTCTGACACATGCTTCCACTAGGATGACGATCAATCTGACTATAAACCATAGCAATGGAGAGAGCTGATCATGAACTGAAGTCTTATCATCAGTCAAAATAAATTTTCCTCCTTTAAGTTGATTTTTTTCAGATATTCAACCTGTAGTAATAGAAAGCTATCACAGTCAAATAATGAAGTGATTTTCCAACAAGGTGCCAAGGAATTTTAAATGATGCTATAACATGGTAGTCATATCCTGGCTACTCTATTTGTATGGGAATAGCCATATACAAAAAAAAAAAAAAAAATCCTTTACCTGCTATCATTTACAAACAGTTCTAAAGGGGAATCATAAACTTACAAATAGAAACTAAATATGTTAAACTTCTAGAAAAAAAGGAGAAAAGTCTTTGATTTGGCAAAGATTTCTTAAACTAGGACAAAAAAATCAAACTATTCACAAAAAAATCAATACTCTTCAAAAGATACTTTTTGTCTCACTTTCTCCATATTGAGAAACAATAACTAATACACACAACTTAAAACAGGAAGGCTTTATTTTGACTCATAGTTTGTAGAGGTTTCAGTCAGCTGGCTCCAAGGCAAGGTCACATGGTAGAGGAGAAACAGCTCATGCCATGACAAGCAGGAAAAAGAGATTAAGGAAATTCGGAGCAAGATATTCCCTTGCAGACCACTCCCCCAGTAACCAACCTCCTCCCACCAGGCTTTACCTCCCAACACCACATTTCGCTATAAACTCAACAGGGAACTAAACCGCTGATGAGTATCATTCCCCCAGGATCCAATCACCTCCCCAAAACCCCACTTTATCAGCACATGAGGCTTTGTGGGGACATATAGATATAAAACATAACACTCTTTTAAGAATTAAGACAAGCTGAGAGTGAAAAAAATATTTGCAAAACACAACTAACCTAAAACCTGGGTCTATAATAAAGAACTTTTACAACTCAATATATAATAAGACAATTTAGAATGGGTAAGAGGTTTAGCAGTCCCTTCATCAGAGAAGGTAGGAAATAAACATATGAAAAAGATGCTCAACATCACTTTGCTTACAGGAATGCAAATTGAGCCACACCAAAATAATACAACCTACTCACTAAAATGGTTAAAATTAAAAGGTAACTACACCAGCCACTGGTAAGTATGTGATAGCACTGGAAATGTCACATACTGTAGATAGAGATGTAAAATAGTATAACCACTGGGAAAAAAACAGAGTAGTAGTTTCATAAAAAGTTAAATATATACCTTCTACAGGACCAAATGAATCCATTACTAGGTACTTACTCAAGAGAAATAAAAGTAAACATCCATGAAAAATCTGGCAGAAGATGAGCAGGACTATAGCAGATTTGTAATAGTCAAAACCTGGAAACAACTCAACTTCCTTCAACACAATGAATTGCTGAACCATACAATAATTGTACAACATAAAATGACAACTATTCAAAAATAAAAAGGAAATATTTATACACACTGTAACATATATGAATCTCAAAATAATTATGCTGAATGAAAGCAGCAGCATACTGAAAATGCAGTGTAATCTATATAATCTACCTATAGAACCATTTTCTAGAAAATGAAAAACAATTTAGAGTGAAGGAAATCAGATTAGTGGTTACCTGACAGGTGCAGAGAGTGGAATGGGATTGGTAGGACCAAAAGAAACTTTTGGGCGTGATGGACATATTATCTTGATTTTATGGTAGTTTCATGGATACATGTATGTTTCAGGTGTCATGAAATTCCACACTTCAAATACATGCAATTTGTTGTGCCGCAATCATGTCTCAGTAAAGCTATAAAATACAGAGATGTACACACAATATAACTTGAGTTATTAACGGTGGGACAGAATTAAGGTGCATCTATTTTATTACTTGTAATTATTAATTTAAAAATCATTTAAGTTTAATCTATTTTAATCGATGAATAAGCCTTAGAAAATAAGTGAAGGGGGCACAGGTCTGTCAGAGTAACATATCAAATAACAAACTCTGTTCCTACGTATGAAACGTTTGTGTGCAAATGGAGGAGGGTGTGAAAGGAACCTATCAGACAATTTAAGAGATGGAACTGGAAAAACATGTTTTCATTTTACCTTCCCATTTAGCGACCATGCTGCAAAAGGCCTTTCCCCCTTATTCTAAAAGGGAAAAATATTTATGTGTAGGTACAATTTGCTCATAAAAAATAAATTTCTTCTGAGCAACACCTCCTACTCTTTATGTCCTGATTTCCCCACTATGTCAAAAGAGTGCTCGCCCTGAGGGCCAGCACCGACAGGCCGACCCGGAGGTCGCAGTTACAGGGGAAGACAGGCCCAATAGGAGGAGCTGGGGGCTCCTCCTCACTGACTACCGGGGTGGGGCAAGCTACTAAAATCAAAAGGGAAAAGTGGAGAAGCAAGGAGGCACCATGGACATCAGTACTGCCTTAATAAGCACAACCAAGAGCCACCCGTAAAGGGTCCTAGGACATCTCTAGGCTCTACCAAGAGCCACCCGTAAAGGGCCCTAGGACATCTCTGGGCTCTACCAAGAGCCACCCGTAAAGGGTCCTAGAACATCTCAGACCCAAAATGGGGGCATCGCTCTGGCGCATGCGCACCTTCGCACCCTGGCCAGGCCTCTGGGCGCATGCGCTGAGCCCAGGGGCAGCCTGCAAGGTAGAAATTCGCATCAACGAGACCTAGTCTTACTGCCCCTGGACCCGGAAGCACAGTGCCAACTGTGATCTCTCCGAACGCCAGGTGGGCTGCCCTACATCCTTGTCTTTCAGAGACTAATGGGTTATAGACCTGTGGAGGCTCAACTGAGCTTGGGGACACAAGGAGGATATAGCTTGTATTAGGAGTGTGGCACAGCCCGGTAGTCCACGAGGATGGTCAACCCACCTCTCCAGCTGTGGAAAGGTTGGTGATCAAGAAGACGGACCTACCTGTGACTACCCAGCGTAGAAATCCAGGCTTTCCCAATGAATTTGCAGATCAGTTTGAGGAAGGGCTAATTACCCAGCACCCTTAATCAGATATTTGTAGATGTTATTACAAGTAATTTTGTGTCTCCAGTTTGAAACATCTTTATTGTGTCTATACATTAGATCATATTAGCATGTGTATTAATTTTCTGATCCCAGTGGTGTATCACGGCTATGTTGAGGAAAGTCCTTGTTTGTAGAAAATAGACAAACTATTGGAGGTGATTGGGCATGATGTTAGCAGTTTACTCTCAAATTATGGGGCCAAGTAAAACATATTCTTCCTATTCTTCTGGAACTTTTCCATAAAGTTGAAATTATTTCATCATGGGGCTACAGGTGAACATATTCTACTTTTCTGTAATTTTCCCATAAAGTTGAAGTTATTTTAAAAAGAAAGTCATTTTTAAAATTACCCTCGTTTCATAAAATTAGCCATATGACTCTATTTTTTTCTGTACAGAATCCTGCACCAATTTATTTCGCATAAAAATTAATTGTTCCTGGTGTTTTGAGGCAAGCAAAATCTTTGCCTTCTTGCCTTCATAGTAATTCTTGCATGAGTTTTGTCTCTTGATATTTTCTATCACCGTTTCAATTTCTCCTAAATTTTTAAATTTATTGACATAATTTCAATAATGTATTTTTAAATCAACATATGTGACTCTTCCCTACTTTATTCTGTATTTTATTTGTATCTTCTATTTTTTCCTGAAAAGCCTTGTTAATCAGCTCTGTTGGTGTTTCTGTTGTAATTCTTGTTTCCCATTTCATGTTCCCTTCTGTTTTGTTTTCTTCTTTATTTGTTTGGGTTTGTTTTGTTGTTTTTTTTTTTATCAGTAATGGAAATTGAACCCAGCACACACGTGCACTCCACCACTGAGCTACATCAGTCCCCATGTCCTGTTTCTTTCCATAACTGTATTTTCCCTTCTTTTTATTTATTTGAGTTTGTTCTGTGACTTATTACAGCTTCTTCCTTTTACTGTCTTTACTTTTAATCTTTCTTCTTTCCTGAAAAAAATGTGCTTGTAAATTTCCCTTTAGGTACTACTTTATTTGTATTCTTTAAGTTTTTATAGCATAATTTCTTTTATAGTTTTTATAGCATCATTTAGTTTTAAATGTTTCTAATTCCTATTAAGATTTATTTTCTTTTCTATGGGTCAAAGATCATTTTTCTTACCTTCCAAATATGTAAGCACATATTATTAGTTTTTTTATATTCACTGCCAACTTACTTGCACTAATAGAACTGTATGTAGCATGACAGTATGGTCTATAAAGCTGCAGTTACCTAAATTTCTATATTTGCCTCATTAACTAGTACCTAGTCATTTGTATTTAAAATCTAATATTTCTAATATGTTAGATCAAGTTTGTGTCTATTCTGTAACCTTGCTAATGTTCTCATCAGTTTATGAGTTACAGAAAGTGATTTTTATCAACTTGTATAACTCTTCCAATTTCTCTTTTCTATAGTTTGAATCATTTTAAAAAGTACATAAAGATTTAAAATTTCATCCCAATAAATTTACATTGTATTGCTTTGTAATAAACTTCATGTCCAAAAAATTTTTACTTATTGTCTTAGCTACTTTCTCATTGTTGAGATAAAATACCCACAGGTTAAAGGAGGGAAGATTTATTTTGGCTCACAATTTGTAAAGGTTTCAATCCATACTGGCTCAAAGGCAAGGTGGCATGGCAGAGGGGCATGGAGGAGGAGAGGCAGCAGTTCATTGCATGGCAGGAAAGAAGCAGAGCCATCAGGGGAGAAGAAGGGATATATTTATACACCTTTCCAGGTTATGCCTAGAGTGAAGCCACCAGGCTTCACCTCCCCTCCGCACCCCCAGCTATAAAACTATCAGTGGACTAATCCAGTATCACACATCCATGATGCTGTCAACCCAAAAAGTGCATGAGGATTTGGGGAGACATCTAGATATAAGCCATGACACTTGTTTTCTTGATGACATAGCCACGCCGATTTTCATTTAGTGGTACTTGCCTTGGTATATCCATTTCTCTCCCTTATCTGCTAATCTTCTGTGTCCTTGTGCTTCAGTGTGTCTCTTATAAATAGCGTATAACTCAGTGTAGCTTATTTACTCGTTTATTCAGTCTTGGGAGCTTGTATTTTCTTATAGTCCATTGACAATTTACTATCATTCCTGTCATGTAAATCATTTTTACCATTTTATATATTGTTGCTAGCTTTTCTAGGCTTCTCCATTAAAACTTTCTCTTGGAATTACAGAATTTTTTCTTTATCTACGTTTCCCTACCTAACTCCCTAACCCACATAAAATTTTTTTTTCTTTATCACTTGGGAAGTTTTTCACTGTGGTACTACATTTGGTGCTTACCCTACAATTTTTAATTTATTTAGCTGAACAAATTCTGAAGTTAATCAGTATCTTAGCCCCTTCTAAAACAATGCAAGGGTATTGGGACATTCAGTTACCTCCACAAAGACACTCCTCTCCACTTTAATATGCATTTTTCAATTGAGATCTGCTGCCAAAAGTCTCTATTAACATGTGATCAACTATATATCCTCTTCCTGGAACATTCTTTTCTGCTGGCCTTTATGTTAAGCCCATCTCTTTCTGCTCTTTTTGTCCTCCTCACTTCTGACTGAAGGGTCCTTCTCAAGTAGTTTGTCTTGCAAGGGAGACTTCTTCATGTATCTTGTTTGATTTTTAAGAAGCATTTATAGATATCATCCAGGCACATTCCTCCCCAACAAAAGTGTTCATCTCCATTTGACTTACTCAGATCTATGCTTCAGTTGTTGGTGTAAATGCCACTTCTCCTGAGAAGACTTCTGAGTCTAGATGCATAGTCCTCAAACTGTATACTTGCAAGGCCAAAGACTTCCCAAGGGACTCCAGGCATAACAGTTTTAAAGGAATCATTTCCAAGATTCTCAGCTTTTGTGTGTACACTTTCGTAAAAGTGATCTAAGAACTGATTTATAAAATTAATATATAATGTTTCCTGTATTTGTTATTTATTTCCCAGAGGGAAATTTTCTCTTAAATACCAAATAGTCAATTGTTCAAAACATTAGTATCAATGAGGGCTCTTGTGAATCCTTTTTCTTTCCCTATATTATCCATATCCTATAAAAGGCAAACATCATATTATAAACAGAATAGTGCTGGAACAATACTTGACATGCCATGGAGTCAAAAATAAAGATGCCAGGTCTAACAACAAAAAATACAGAAACGATTAAATTTGAATTTCAGATAAATAATTTCTAGTGTAGTTGTACTCCAAACTTATTAAAAACTGAAATGTCATAGGTTTCTGAGTTTCACATTTACCTGGGCATTTTCTTTTTTATCTGGCAACCCAACAAAAATTAAGGATTTTTTCTTCTATCTCTTTGACATTACCAAATAATACTTTGTCTCTGAGAGAGAATCTTGTTAGCACACCTAAAAATGCAAGCAGGAAGTTTTAAAACTGAAGTACTTTATCTACAATATGAACCTAACTCCAATTGTAGAAATGAACACATTTTTAAATAAAAATGTTATAAACACATTGTAAAACCAAGATCTCACTGCTACCAGTGTCTACAGTAAAGTTCATTGACCTGTATGCTAAATATGAATGCACTATAACATATACATGGTATAGCTCATTGAAAAAAAGTTTTCAGGAAGTATATTGAAGTTAATGGTATATTTTCTGAGTATGTCTGTTAACTGAGGGACATTTATTGAAAGAATAATGTATATAACTTGACTTTTTTCTGAAGCCTTTTTTGTTTTTGTTAAGCTTTCCAGAAATTAAAAAGGTA